TTAATTTAATAAAGGAAAGAAAGAAACGAAAGCTCTTCCTCATATTATCCCTTTTTCCAAAAGGAAAAAGAGAAAAATATAAATTTTCTGTAATATTTGAAGCAATAGACCAGTTAGTGGTGCAATCATGGTTCACTGCAGCCTCCACCCCCTGACCTCAAGGGTCCTCTCACCTCAGCCTCCCAAGTAGCTCGGACTACAGGCATGAGCCACCATGCCTTGCTAATTTTTTAATTTTTTATAGAGGTGGGGGTCTCGCCATGTTGCACAGGCTGATCTTGAATTCCTGGACTCAAGCAATCCTCCAACTTCAGCCTCCCAAAGTGCTGGGATTGCAGGTGTTGATCGCCATGCCTGGCCTGAAAAATCCTTTTCTAGTCAGCAATTCCAGCTGACCTTGGTGGTCTTATTATCAGAAATAACTGAGTAAACTGGGTTGACATTTGATGGCTGAATGGGATACTCTTGATAATCCTATGGTACTAAGAGAAGTATTAGATAATATAGTAGGAGTTTAGAGATCCTGCATAGGCTTCATAATGATGAAGTTACTGTGCTGCTAGCTAGCTAATAATTGATATAGTAAAAGTCTTAGGTTGCTCCTTCATCAATTTTTTTCTTTCAAATAAAAAAACATCTGTAGAGCATAGTTTAGGAAGCTTTAATCATATATGAGAAAACTGCTTTTGTTGTTTCCCGAAAATCTAAACCAAACATGAAATTTAAATGAAACAAAGAATAAGGTTTATTTAGTGTGACTACCTGAAATCTCATTTTTCACATGTCAACAATTAAAAGTAGCTAATGTTCATGGTGTCAAAATTCAGTAAATATTCATTGCTCACCTCCTGTGGTGCCAGGAACTACACTAGGTAAACATCATATTATTGGATGAATAAAACATGGCTCCTGGCCTTGAGGAGTTTAGCAGAGGAAGTAAAGCTTTATTTATTCATAAAGTATATCTATGATAATAGACTATGATTCTAGGTACTACTGAAAAAACATACCTGGAAATGAAATATTAAGTTATGGATTGGAACTGGGCAAAATGAAAAGCTAAAAATCTTTTTTCATGAAAGTATAATGATATATGGGCTATAATAATAGCTTACAGTTCTAAATGCTGTGTGGTAAATAATGTTGATTCTTGGATAAACTATTTCCTCATCCTTTTAATAGGTTAGACATAAAGCTTGAGATATATACTATTACTCTTAGAGAATATGGCAAATTTTCTTCATTTTCATGGGTTTATAATCTTGGCACTTTGTTGTTACAGTACCTTACATTTAATTACAGAAGGCTGAAAAAAGAAAAAATAGGGAAAACACTAGCAAATTTTAATAATGTTTATTAGTAAGTCAAAATGTGTGTGCTGAGAATAGGATTGGTTGAGGTTTTTCTTATCCTTGAGACTATTATTGATCTATTGGAAACGACTTTTGTGGATCATGCTACTCTTTACTTTGTGAATGGAATTTTGGCTATGGCAGATAGTACACAGACTCATTCCCAGTATGCATAGCAGGCAGCAGACTGAAGTATCTTTTACCAGCACCAGTTTTTCCCTCCATGCATCACAGATATTTTTAGAACCTGATACTAGATTTAAGTGAATTTGTCATTGCTCTACATACATTATGAAACACAGCCTACTGAAAGCTCCTTTTCGGCTCTTTCTTGCCACTAGTAAAGGAGGAAAATTGCAAGCAGGGTCTCCTTAAACCTGCTTAGAAGTGGGGCAATCATATATGTTGAGAGTACCACAAGTGCAACTTGAAATTGGTTGTAATTAAGGTGGTTAATGAAAATGACTTAAAAAAAACTACATGGAAAGAAAAGCTAATCAAAGAAAATATGTCACATGACATATGTCATTTTGAAGCACAAGATAAATATTTCAAAATGTCTTCAGTTTTCTCCAAAATATTTTAGAATGAAGACAAACTAATTTTTGAAAACCAAAATTCTATTTTCAATTACTTCATCTCCTTTTTTTTTTTTTTAAGGCAGGGAATACTTTATTTAAAACCCATCACAGAAATGAACAGCTTGAGTCTGTAATACAGCATACATGTTTTAAAGCAGAAGTCAGTAATTGTATGTGAGAGCATAGACTGCTGCATACAAATTAACTCATCAGACCACAAGTTTTCAATGTTTAAAACAGAATAAGCTTCCCTGTGAAAGCAGCATCTGTGCTGGGTTTTTTTGTTTGTTTGTTTGTTTGTTTGTTTTTGACTGAATTTTGCTCTTGTTGCCCAGGCTGGAGTGCAATGGCATGATCTCGGCTCACTTCAACCTCCACCTCCCAGGTTCAAGTGATTCTCCTGCCTCTGCTGTTTTAACTTTAGTATTCTTCTTCTTCACCCTCTTTTTCAACATATTCCACACTAACTCTTCATAATCCTTCTCAAAAGCAGCCATATCCTCATGGGCCTCACGGGCTTCAGAAAACTCTCCTTCCTCCATTTTGTTACCCACATACCAGTGAACAAAGACATGCTTGGAATACATTAGGTCAAACTTGTGGTCCAGGTGAGCCCAGGCCTCACCAATAGCTGTGGTGTTGCCCAACATGCACACAGCTCTCTGTATCTCAGCCAGGTCTCTGCCAGGCACGACAGTGGGAGGCTAGTAATTAATGCCACCTTGAAACCAGTGGGGAACCAATCCATAGACTGGATGGTACACTTGGTCTTGATGGTGGCAATGGCAGCACTGACATCTTAGGGAAACACATCACTGTGGTACAACAGGCAGCAAGCCATGTATTTACCATAGTGAGGGTCATGTTTCACCACCTGGTTGACTTGCTCAAAGCAAGCATTGATAATCCCTGCTACAGAAAGCTGTTTATGGTAGGCTTTCTCAGTAGAGATGATGAGGGTGTATTAGTTCATTTTCATACTGCTGATAAAGACATACTGAAGACTGGGCAATTTACAAAAGAAAGAGGTTTATTGATTCACATTGCTGGGGAGGCCTCACAATCATGGTGGAAGACAAGAAGGAGCAACTCATATCTTACATGGATGGCAGCAGACAAAGAGAGCTTGTGCAGAGAAACTCCCATTTTAAAAATGATCAGATTTTGTGAGACCCATTCACTCTCATGAGAACAGCATGGGAAAAACCTGCCAACATGATTCAGTAATCTCTCACTGGGTCCTTCCCACAACACGTGGGACTTATGAGAGCCAAAAGATGGGATTCGGGTAAGGACACAGAGCCAAACTATATCGTTCTGCCCCTGGCCCCTCTCAAAACTTATATGTTCATATTTCAAAACAAATTACACCTTTCCAACAGTCGCCCAAAGTCTTAACTCATTTCAGCATTAACTCAAAATTCCACACTCCAGGGTCTCATCTGAGACAAAGCAAGTCCCCGTGTCTATGAGCCTGTAAAATCAAAACCAAGTTAGTTACTTCCTAGATACAATGGGGGTACAGGCATTGGGTAAATACAGCCATTCCATAAGGGAGAAACTGGCCAAAACAAAGGGGCTACAGGGCCCATACAAGTCCAAAATCTATCAGGGCAGTCAAATCTTAAAACTCCCAAACGATATCCTTTGACCCAATGTCTCTCATCCAGGTCATGTTGATGCAAGAGGTAGGTTCTCATGGTTTTGTGCAGCTCCACCCCTGTGGCTTTGCAGAGTACAGCCTCCCTCCCATCTGTTTTCATGGGCTAGTGTTAAGCGTATGCAGCTTTTCCAGGCACACCATGCAGGCTGTCAATGGATTTACCATTGTGGGATCAGGAGGATGGTGGTCCTCTTCTCACAGCTCCACTAGGCAGTACCCCAGACTCTGTGTGAGGGTTCTGACCCCACATTTCCCTTCCACACGTCCCCAGAAAAGGTTCTCCATGAGGTCCCTGAACCTAAAGCAAACTTCTGCCTGGGCATCCAGGCGTTTCCATACATCTTCCGAAATCTAGGTGGATGTTGCCAAACCTTAATTCTTGACTTCTGTGCACCTGCAGGCTCCATACCATGTGGAAGCTGTAAAGGCTTGGGGCTTCTACCCTCTGTAGCAACAGCCTTAGCTGCACCTTGGCCCCTTTTAGTCACAGCTGGAGTGGCTGGGATACAAGGCACTGAGTCCATAGACTGCACACAGCACAGGGAACCTGGACCCAGCCTACAAAACCATTTTTTCCTCCTAGGCCTCTGGGCCTGTGATGGGAGGGACTGCTGTAAAGACCTCTGACATGCCCTGGAGACATTTTCCCCCATTGTCTTGGGGATTAAAATCAGCTCCATTTCTTTTCAGAAAATGGGATTTTTCTTTTCTAGAGCATTGTCAGGCTGCAAATTTTTCCAAACTTTTGTGGTCTGCTTTTCTTATAAAACTGAATGCCTTTAATAGCACCCAAGTCACCTATTGAATGCTTTTTTGCTTAGAAATTTCTTCTGTCAGATACCCTAAATAATCTCTCTCAAGGGCAAAATTCCACAAATCTCTAGGGCAGGGACAAAATACTGCCAGTCTCTTTGCTAAAACATAACAAGAGCCACTTTTGCTCCAGTTTCCAACAAGTTCCTAATCTCCATCTGAGACCACCTCAGCCTGGATTTCATTGTCTGTATAATTATTAGCATTTTGGTCAAAGCCATTCAACAATTCTCTAGGGAGTCTTAAACTTTTCTACATTTTCCTATCTTCTTTTGAGCCCTCCGACCTTTTCCAACCTTTGCGTGTTACCCAGTTCCAAAGGCACTTCCACATTTTTGTGTATCTTTTCAGCAGTGCCCCACTGTCCTGGTACAAATTTACTGTATCAGTTCGTGTTCATGTTGCCTATAATGACATAACAGAGACTGGGCAATTTATAAGAAAGAGGTTTATTGGACTTATAGTTCCACATGGCTGGGGAGGCCTCACAATTACGGTGGAAGGCAAGGAGGAGCAAGTCACATCTCACATGGATGGCAGCAGGCAAAGAGAGAGCTTGTGCAAAGAAACTCCAAGTTTTAAAAGCTATCAGATCTTGTGAGAGTTATTCACTATCACGAGAACAGCACCAGAAATATCCATCTCCGTGATTTAATCATCTTCTACTAGGTCCTTGTCACAACACATGGGGATTATGGGAGCTACAAAATGAGATTTGGGTGGGGACACAGAGCTAAACCATATGAGGACATAGATGCCCAGAGGGAAGTGGATGCAGGGATAGGACCACAGGTTGGTCTGGAGTTCTGTCATATCAATATTTAGGGTTCCATCAAATCTCAGGGAAGCAGTGATGGAGGACATAATTTGGCCTATGAACCTATTTAGGTTAGTGTAGGGTGCTCACTTAATATCAAGGTTTCTACAACAGATGCCATAAATGGCCTTATTGTCTATTATGAAGGCATACTCAGAGTGCCCCAGGGTGGTGTGGGTGGAATTTTAGGGCTCTAGTACAAGTGTAGAAATCTGAAGGGCTGGGTAGAACTCCAGCTTGGATTTCCTACCATAGTCAAAAGAGAGACATTCCGTGAGCCAGGAGGTGAACCAAGAACCAGTTCCCCTGCCAAATCTGTGGAAAAACAAGAAGCCCTGAAGACCTGTGCACTTGTTGGCCAGTTTATGAATTTGGCCCAACATGAGGTCAAGGATCTCCTTGCCAATGGTATAGTGCCCTCGGGCATAGTTATTGGCAGCATCTTCCTTACCCATGATGAGCTGCTCAGGGTGGAAGAGCTCATGGTATGTGCCAGAGGAAACTTCATCAATGACCATGGGTTCCAGATCTACAAACACTGCTTGGGCTTGTGCTTGGTTTCTGCTTCGCAGCTGCCTAGCAGATGACCAAAGAGGAGAGGTTGTTGCTTTCTACAGAGCAATCCTTAAAGAGCTGATGTAAGAAAATCTTCATCTCCTTTTTTTAAAAAAGGGGTTTATTTGTAAAGCAGTTTGAGGTCCACAGTGAAAGTGAGCAGAAAGTACAAAACTCCCATATACCTCCTGTCCACTACAACATGCGCAGCCTCCGCTACTATCAACATGTGGCACCAGGATGGTACATTCATTACAATCAATGAATCTACATTGAGGCATCATGACCACTCAGAGTCCATAGTGTACATTTGCGTTCACTCTTGGTACTGTGCATTCTACGGATTTTGGCAAATGTAAAATGATGTGTACCTACCATTACATTATCATAAGTAGTTTCACTATCCTAAATTCCTCTAAACTGTGCCTATTCACCCCTCCTCATCTACTCTCTCTCTTTTTTTTTTTCTTTTCTCTCATCTACTCTTAAAAAGGCAAACTGATCCATATCTATTATCTGCCCAATCTGGGATTTCACAACCTCAGACTCTTGACATTTTAAACAGGATAATTCTTTTAAAGGGGATGTCTAGTACATTCTAGGATATTTAGCAGCATCCCAGCCTCTACCTAATCAATGCCAAAAACACTGCCATTCTCCCTTGTGACAACCAAAAATGTCTCCAGAAATTTCCAAATGTCCCCTGGGAGCAGGTAGCAAAATCATTCCTGTTAAGAGCCACTGGCCTAATCTAAGGCATACTCTACTTCCGAATGTCTGTATTATTCTATTATGACTTGTACAGTTAGTCATTAAATGTTAGTCAACAAATATTTATTAGGCTTACTATGTGCTGGACACTATAAATGTATTCCACACCAGCCAGTCAAGAGCTATTAAATTCTTAACATATTAATAAGTGACAGGGAGAGGCATGAGTTGTTGCAATAAACATTTTAAAAATCTACATGCAGCAGCTACATTGAATCTTGGGACATGATTGATTAAATTGACATAGCCATCTTCACAATGTAGTTCACAGCAGAATGAATGCAGAGGGAAAATACATTGATCATTAAGATTGCTTAACTGATTGGACCTGCTATGTTGTGATCTGCTTCAGCAGTCACATGCAAGAGACGGACACTGCCTCTACAGGAAAATAATTCTGAGTAATTAGCCAGGGAAGACTCTATACAAATCCCCACTCCCACCCTAACACCACCACTGTTTTCCCATGATAGCAATAGATATTTACCTGATTCCTTTGCAAAATTGCCATAAGTGCCTCAGTTCTCCTTTCATTTTGCCTCTGTAGATAGAGGCAGGACTGATGATAAGCTGGTTTCCATTTTGGTTGACCAGTACTTGTGTTGTTCAGATCACTAAATCAAATGTAACTGAACAAGTATAATTTAAGATTTTATTCAGAGATTCTCCTTGTAAAGATTTAGGCATTAAAGTAGTCACACAGAATCCATGAGACAACTGTCAGAAATGGAAAGAGGAATTGGAGTGGTAGACCACGAGACATCTTGGCAAAACTAATTCTATTTGCATATGGCCTCAAATTATGGGTTTCCTCCTTCTCTTTCTCCTTTTCCTTTTTTGGACAGACTTATTATAGTCATTTTGATTTCTCCTTGCTTTTGTTTCTTTGGCTTTTTTTATGATGGGTCAAAAATAAATAAATTCAAAATTGACTCATTGAAGGCAGTTAACTACATTTAACTTATTTCCAAGGCACTTCTTGGAGGATGTGGGGCTACTTATTCCTTGATTGTTAAAGTGAACTAACATATATATTCCCCTTTGTGGACCTCTAAATTGGTCTTCTTATCTATAACTTGTAAGATTCCATCCAGCTGTGATCTGTTGGATATCATAATAAAGGTATACTAGACCATGATGCATGCTGGGACCTCAGCAGAAGGAAGAAGAGGAAAGGGGTCGAACAGAATCTTGGAAAAGGCTAGATCAAAATTTCATGCACTAACTTGGTTTTAGGAATATACCTTCAAGATTGTGTTTGGGGCCAGGTGCAGTGGCTCACACCTGTAATCCTAGCACTTTGGGAGGCAAGGCAGGGGGATTGCTTGAGGCTAGGAGTTCAAGACCAACCTGTACAACATAACAAGATCCCACCTCTATAAAAAATTTAAAAATTGGCTGGGCATTGTGGCACACTCCGGTAGTCCCAGATACTTGGGAGGCTGAGGTGGGAGGATTGCTTGAGCCCAGGAAGTTAAGGCTGCAGTGAGCTGAGATCATGGCACTGCACTCCAGCCTGGGTGACAGATCAAGACCCTGTCATAAAATATTTTTAAAAAAAGATTGAGGCGGAGGTTGCGGTGAGCCGAGATCGCGCCATTGCACTCCAGCCTGGGTAACATGAGTGAAACTCCGTCTCGAAAAAAAAAAAAAAAAAGATTATGTTTGGCATATCAAATCAAAGTTCAAAAGATGAGACAAACGGGCTTTATTCAAAGGATGATCAAGTCCTTGAGTTGACTTTATACACTAAACCAAGTTTGGCAAACTTTTTCTGTACAGGACCACAGAGCAAATATTTAAGGCTTTGCAGACCATAGAGTGTCAGTCACAAGTACTCACCTCTACCATTGTAGCATGAAAGTAGACATATTCAATATGAAAACAGATAAGCATAGCTCTGTTCCAATAAGTCTTTATTTATGGACCTTGAAATTTGAATTTCATAACATTTTTACATGTCATAAATTATTATTCTTTTTTATTTTTTTAGCAACTTAAACATGTACAAATCATTCTGAGCTCATGGGCTGTACACAAACAGGCAGTAGGTCATAGTTTGCAACTCCTGTACTAAACTTAAACAAACGATAATTTATTTCGTGTTCAATGATCTGCCTAATTCCGCCTAGCAGGCCTCCAACACTACAATCAGGACCACGTAATCCTATTGGTAGGATTAGCCTTGCTCCAATTTCTGGTAAAAATCAGGTCACAGACAGTGAGGACATAAGAAACTCTACCTATCACCCATTCTCTATAAAAGTCAGTCTGTTTTATGGCCCTGCACTATTTCTGCACTTTGTTCTGGTAATAGCGCTCTGATCTGGCTGCTATTAATAAATCCGCTTGAGTTGCACTCCAGTTCCCACAGATACTCTTTCTTTTATGTACGAGTTTCTGCTTGACATTTAGTTTCTACAGAACTAGAGTCTCACCATGACTCGTCCAAAATCAGAGTCCTGGAGATGGAGTGTTGTATATTAACCTTAGGGCCTGTGGCTGGGTCCCTGTGATTTACTACTTCATCTTCCTGATGTTCTTCTCTACCGTCCAGAATCATCCTTCTGTGTCTGGTCCAGTTGTAGGCCTTGTTGACCTGGCCAATCTCACTGATCTCATCAAGCCTACTGAGGCATTTAGCATCATATGAACAGAGGAGCATGCAGAAAAATAGATGGAAAATAATGAACATATAAAAACTATTTGGATAGCTTTTATTATAGCCAGAGACCAAGATAGCACAAACTCTTTGTTTTATTCTATCCTTGACAAAGCAAAAGTGTTGAGAACTGAAATTCTTCCTATCACAATACCTGTTTAACACTGAAGTAAAACTTATACACAATAAAATTCTTAGTAACTGTGTCAAGAAACAATAATAATTATTTACTTTTGACCTTTACAAATCTCAACTTTCAAGATTCTGAGTTCTTTTTTTATGGCTTTGGTTCATTCTTGATTAATCAAGGCAGTTGCAAATTTTTGTGGAAGTGATTCAGTCACATAAATTTAGTATTCTTTTCTAATTCTCTTTCACACATACTGAATTCTAGCTTATGGTAAATAGTTATCCCAAGTTGCCAATGTATAATCTACTTCTTAAAAAGGAAACTATACATTAAAATGTAGATAACACTACATTTCAACTTTTCATCAATTATCAATATATCATACAACCTTTGCAAAGACAATTGGAAAAAAAAACCTGAAATGGTAGCTCCCTATCTTGAGTTCATGAATTTTCTGAGATAAAATCTGGGAATGTATATTTCTGATCTATGTTGTACCTGATATTTTATCAAGAGGAATATACATTATCTGCTCTGCATCAAGATTTTCAAATGTGGTTAGTTACTTAAAATATGCCTATGATTTAGTTACACTTGAGGATGGAGATAGCATGACATAAGGATTTAGAGTGATAGTTGATAAAGACCTAAGTGGGATATAATTCTAAACTCAAATATCTAGATATAAACACACACTTTTGATTTCCAAGTAAAAAAGTAGATTTGCAGTTATTAATGTTTAATAGCAGTTAATAACAGAATATAGCTGTTATTCTCCACAATCAGGACATGCCTATATGCTGCCATCAAATTGGCAGTTTTTGATTACTTCAGTTATGTTTACTCAGCTATCTTATTTGGCACAGACTAAAATATAGACACTTTGGGAACCACTTCAGGTTTTTTGTTGTACAAATATTATCTCAGAGCAAAGCGTATAAACTCCTCAGTGAATGTATCTGTCTTATGGGAAAATGAATCTCATTACTTTATATTCCAATGAACCACACAATTCTTAATCACAGACAAAGAAAATGTACCTTGATCCATGAAAGAAACAGGAAAATAGAGAGGAAACTAAGAATAGTGCAAATCTAACCAGCTCCACCTTGCAACATAGATGCTACTTTCAGTGGTTTAAAACCACACCATACGATGGCCCATACCTATAGTCCCAGCTCTGGAGGCTGAGGTAGGTGGATCCCTTGAGCCCAGGAGTTCAAGATTAGCCCAGGCTACATTGTGAAGCCCCATCTCTACGAAAAAAAAGAAAAATTATCTGGGCTTGGTGGCACGTGTCTGTAGTCCCAGCTACTCAGGAGGCTGAGGTGGGAGGATTGCTTGAGCCTGGGAGGTAGAGGCTGCAGGGGACCACGATCGCACCACTGTCCTCCAGCCTGGGTGACAGAGTGAGACCCTGTGTCAAAAAAAACTAAAACAAATAAAAGATAAAATCATACCAGTGGTTCTTTGGTCACTGCTTGGAGCTTGGAACTATAATGAAGGAACAGAAAGTCTTCCCTTTCTTCAGTTCTTCAGTTTGGATAATAGGAAATTTATTTGCACATTCAGATTTAGTACTACAAGGTTTTTACTTAACCTCATTTATCCTAGATTTATCTTATATCTACACCATCTTTCTTTCATACTGAACATCGCAGTGATATGGAAGAGGCATTTGAGATCTTATCAGCATTTATTAAGATGAGAGAAGCTAGAGTCTCTTTAAATGGCAATGGGAATGAGCCAGAAAACCAGGGAAAATGGAAGATTTGGGGAAAAGGGGACAACCAATAGTGTAAGATTCCTAATAAAGTGGAACTAGAGATACTTCACCCATAATATCACTACTAGGCAACAAGTAGGATATTGGTGCTGGAATTATGCAAAGTCTTTGTCATTTAGATGGCTCCCATCTCTGGATTCTGTGGGAATACAGGTTTCCCTTTATTTTGATCTTGTCATGGCCATTTAAGCTCAGGAGGGGGCACTGTATGTCAGTCGTCTTCTGTGCATGGCAGCGGCAGACCTCAGAAGAGAACTGGCTTAGATTCTTAGGCCCATGTTCTTCCCCCACACCATACTGTTGTTGAAAACAATGTAATTTGTAAAAATTACTTTCATTATTTTTTATTGCTGATTAACAATTTTCTCTGCATTTCAGTACATTCTGTGTAACTATTTGATTTGGAACTGTTTTTTTGTTTGTTTGTTTGTTTGTTTGCATATGAAATTAACCCCAGGGGCAGGGTGTCTGAAAAAAACAGGCCTTCTGTTCCCACTGACCGCCATGTTCCTTTCAGCACCACTAACTCATAAGAAAATATAGAGAAAACCAAAAATAATCTTAACCTAAACAGATTTACCTCCCAACTTTGACACTGCTTTCATTGGGATCACTTGTTTAAAACCATGTCTCTCGTTCACTGCTTAAATGGCCATATCAAAGGTCCCCACTGGAAGGCCTAATGCTGTAAATGAAGTCACGCAATACACAGGGAACTGGCACTAGAACTTTCATGATCAGTCCTATAATTTCCTATTGACATGCCCCCCCAAATATCCAGATGGTTTTTTCATTTTACGATATCTGTATTCCTATGACTCAATTTTGTTTCATCTTCTCCTGCAACAATAGCAAAGAAATCTGCTGGCTCTTCTTTCACCTTTTCATCTGGCATAGTGACACTTCTCAACTGAGACACCATGCTGATAGTTTTATGTTTTGTTACATCAATTTTGTCTCCTCCTTCTTAAGCCTGCTTTTCATATACTGTGAGACCATGCTGCCTTTCTTCTGATGCTTTGTCAATGTGATATTACACAGCACCTGTGACTGGTGGGGTAAGCCATGGCCAGACATGACCAAAGTAGGCCTCAGTGAGGACCAAATTAGAAACTAGGTCCTGTAGTTCAGGTACAGAATAATAGAGATTACTCTAGGGCTGGCACAGCAAGAATTTCAAGGCCTCAGCACAGGATGTGAACCTTGGCGACATGACATCCTGAATAGGGAAATCATTGCCTTCTGTAGTAAAACAAGTTGTCTCTGGATGCTGAATAAGGGGTCCGAGAGGTGGGTGTAAAATACAGCAACCCAAAGCCCTCAACTCTCAAATCTGGTAGAGGTTTTCCTCTGTGTGGGATGCCAAGTCTACAGAACTCAGGGCATGTCTGTAAGAGATACAAGAGAGGCTGTCAGCAGTCAAGTCACCCCTAGTGTCTCGACAAATCATTTACCTCCAAACTTTGACACCACATTCATCGGCATCAGTGGTTTAGTCATCCCTAGTGTCTTTACAAGTCTGTCTGTAGTGCGTTTGTATCCTTTCGGCTGCTGATCTGCTACTTTTGCTTTGAGAGTAAACCATAGGAGACATGACCTCAAAAGGAGGACCAGACTTTCACGATCAGCCTCTTGTGACAGGAAATCAACTATTCCTTTTTCATATTTCCACTGATCTATAAACTTCATCGGGGGTCTGCAGGCAACACATTAAGGAAGGAGCTCTGTGGCCGGCTTTGCCTCAATCCTGTTTTCACATTCATTTCTTTTCCCCATCTGGTTTGTTCTAATTTTTAAGCCATTGATCCTGGGCATGTGACAGCATTGAAATGGAATCAAATCATTTATTCTTTCAAGAAACAGTTTTTGAGCACTCTACTATACCAGGCACTGTTTTGAGCAGTAAGAATACAGCAGTGGACATAAAGAGAAAAACCCTGCCCTTGTGAAGCTGACATCAGACAGTATGATAGATGAAGAACAGTCATATGGAGGAAATAAGCAAGAATGGGAAGTAAGGCATGCTAGGAGTTCCCTTAAATAGGGTGGTCAGGGAAAACATCACTGAGATGGCGACATTTGAGGAAGGCCCTGAAGGAAGCAAGGGAGCAATTCATGTGTTACCTTAAGGAAGAGAGTTCCAGGTGGAGAGAATAACAGGTGAACAAGTCCTGAGGTGGAAACAGGATTAGGATGTGTCAGAGACAGCAAGGAGTGTCCTATATGGCGCCCTCCCCCACACCTTTGCTTGTGGGTACTTTGCAATGTCCACAAGCAATTGCAGGATAACTTTTATATACCAATTGTTAGGGAAGCAAGAGCCTAGAAAAGCCAGAGTGACATCATTTCAAAACCAATTCCAGCTGGACACAGTGGCTCATGCCTGTAATCCCAGCACTTTGGGAGGCTGAGGCGGGTGGATCACTTGAAGTCAGCAGTTCAAGACCAGTCTGGCCAACATGGTAAAACCCTGTCTCTACTAAACATAAAAAATTAGCCAGGCATGGTAGCGAGTACCTATAATCCCAGCTACTTAGGAGGCTAAGGCAGGATAATCACTTGAACCCAGGAGGCGGGGGTTGCAGTGAGCCGAGATTGCGACACTGCACTGCAGCCTGGGCAACAGAGCGAGACTCTGTCTCAAACAAAACAAACAAACAAAAAATCCACACACACAAAAATACTCCATCTTGAGAATAACAAGGTACATTCCTTTCTAGTCACAAGCCATGATCCTGAGATGTTTACAGCGAAATAAAAAGGCTTGATAAGGCCTACAAGGACAAACTCCTACAACAACAGAAAGTCCAGGTGTTCCAATACCCAAAACAATATGTTCTCAAGAGCTCTGATGTGCATACACAGTAAAATGTCAAGGATAGTTTTCTCTAAATCAACAGAATAATAAGTTTTGTCATCCTGTCTGCTCACTCACATATAGACACAGCTTAGTTTAGGCTTTGCATAGACAAGAACCCTATATATGAAAAACTTAAAACAAAGAAGGTGCATTCTTCTGCTTGCTTTCTGAGGACACTCTACTATGTAATGGAGTCGCTTTCAATAAGCTATCTCCTCTCACTGTACTCTGTGACTTGCCTTGACTTCCTTCCTGCATGAGATCCAAGAACACTCCCTTGGGGTCTGGATTGAGGCCCCCTTTTCCGGGTAACACTACTATGGCTCGAAGAGAAAGTCATGATTTACTGAAGATCAAACAGCATTTTAAAATTCACCCATAATGAATTTTCTTTCTACTGCCTTCCATGAACATTTTCTGTAGATCTCAAGCCCAAGTCCTGCTAGTTATCTTCTAGATAAGGCCCACTGATAGTCTTGCCTGTCTCGAGTATAAATTAGCTGTTAACTGTATAAAATCCACATTCAGTAATGCTAGTGGTATTCATCTCCCTTTTAAAAGCATTGTTGTTACACCCAATAATAACAATAATAATAAGAAGTATAGTATACGGAGGGGCTGCCGTGTGCTACAAGCTTTACAGATGCTACATAATTTAATCACTCAACAACCCTGTGGGGTAAATATTATTAAACACATTTTGCATGAAAATGATGTTGCTCAGACTTAGGAAGAATGAATGCAATGCCTAAGGTAATATAGCTAGTAAATGGTAGAGCCAGCTTACTACATACGGTGATGCTGGTCTCCCTAGATAGGTTGCTTCCTCAAAAATGTGTGGCTTAGACCTAAGCCTTGGGACCATCTTTTGAAGGTGCGTCTCTTGAGAACTTGGGACCTTTGGCCTCCATAGTAGGTCATATCACTATCTTAGACAGCAGCAAGTCTTCATTTTCACTGATCTTTCCTGGGGTCTTGATTTAAATTTCCTTCTGTTCTAATAAGACTTTACTTACCCTTCCTATGTTTAGGACAAATGTTCTATCTTTTGAGAAATTGATCTTAGCTACTGTCTGACCAGAATCAGAAAAGCCTGTCTCTTTTCCTTTGATTACACAGCACACTTTGTTCTAGTGCTTACTTCCTAGCAATCCTGCTGACTTAACTGTTTTGTCACTTTTTTTTCCAGATGACTTGGTTAAATGACCTTCATTTTAATGTTCTTCTAGGCCAATTCTAATTGGGCATATTTTTGCTGCCTTCACATGGTCATCTTTTTTCCTTAATGCAATTGGCATCAACTCCCATAATCACTCTTCTCTTTGGCCAAATAACCTTTGATATATTTTCCCATTCATGTTCCCATGTTGCTTTACAAGTCATATTCAATTTTGAGCTTTCCCTCTCCCCAATCCATATCCAAGAGCAAATATATCAATAATAATATTTTTTAAACATTCAATCGTTTTCATTCTTCTTAAATCATTTTACCTTAGGGCATCCTCATTAACCCCTGCCAGTAAATTAGTGGGTTTCAGTGCTTCAAGGAGTGGTTAACACCATATAAAAAACAAGTAGTTCTGAGATTTTATCATCAAGTTAGGTGTTTAATTCCTGAGGGTATCTCAGGAAAACAGCAGTCTTGGAGTCAGAGACTCCTAAATTCCTTTTGTATAGCAAGAGTCAAGACTTTGATGGCTATAATCAAAAAGAAAGATTATGACAGTGATAGTAAGAATGAACAGAAATTGAAACCCTCATACTCTTTTGGTAGAAATGTAAAATGAGGTAACCACTATGAAAAACAGTTTGGCAGTTCCTCAAAAAGCTATATGTATAATTACCATATGACCCTGCAGTTCCATTCCTAGGTATATACCCAAAAGGATTAGAAACAGGTATCCAAACAAAAACTTTTACATGAATGTTTAAAGCAACACTACTCACAATAGCCAAAAGATGGAAGCAACCCAAACGTTCATCAGGAAATGAATGGATAAACAAAATGTGGTATAGTCATATGATGAAATAATATTCAGTATTAAAAAGGAATGAAATACTGATACATTGCTATAATGTAGATGAACCTCAAAAACAGTATGCTAAGTAAAATCAGCCAGACACAAAGCGACATATATTATGTGACTCCATTGATAGGAAATGTCCAGAATAGGCAAATACATACAGACAGAAAGCAGATGACTGGTTGCTGGGGTCTGGAGATAGGAAAGTGGATTAACTGTACATGGGCATAAATGATTTTATTGGGATAATGAAAATATTTGAAAACTGAAGGTACGGTGGTAGCTACACAACTCTAAATTTACTTAAAAAATCATTGAATTGTACATTTACAATGAATGAATTTTATGGTATGTAAATTATACTGCAGCCATGAGGGGGGGAAGGAGGGGGAGAGAGAGAGAGAGAGATTGATTGAAGGTAAGCCTGGCCAATTGGCATTGGCATTCTAGAGCTTTACTAATTTGGAAGAACTAAAGAGATGATATAGTTGAATGGTACCCTATCCAGAAACAAAACTGTAGCATTCTGAGAGATGGGAGAGAGAGGGAAAAAGAAAGGGTAAGAGGCCACAAAGGAAGTGGAAGAGTCCATAAGTAAGTATGCCCCTGAACCACCACTCACTAGAATCTGAGGACATTTTCCAACAGGTTTAGGGGTAAAATTAAAAACAAAGTGGAATTATTCCAAATTTGGTCTTTGGAAATAAAAAATGCCACATGCTTGAATCCACCTAATAAATAAACATTTAGTTCCCTCTAATCCAGGAGTTACAAATCTTGCATCCATGGATGAACTTTGGGTGGAACATGAGTGCTTACTTAGCAGGTTGAATGCCAAACTAAGACTATAAACGTATATGTGTTTGTTTGTGGATAGAAGTTTTGAAACTTTCATGAGCTTTCTAAGGAGGAGAAAAATGATTAACTACTCATAGAAAGGGGAGTGGAAGCCTGGGAAATGGGTAAGCCCAAAGAATGTGAGGACAGAGGAAGGTCTCATGTAGAATACTAGGAAATCAACCAACTATAAGATAACTCAGATATTTTCACAAAATGATTCTCAAAACAGTGTCATATAAATTGCAAATGGTGTGATTGAATTTCGTGATGGGAGGTCATTGATGTAGACTACTGACCTGAGGCTTACTGATGCACTTTATGAGGTATGTATAGTCTCTGAAATGGGATGTGAAATTTCCTACATATATGCATATGAGCATATATCTGGGTAGACAAGATATAGCTTTCACAGAGTCTTAGACAAGGTCCTTGACCTATAAAAGGTATAAGCCATTCACTTTAACTTCTGGCAGTGAAGGTTTCTTCCTATATACAACTCTCATTTTCCCATCTTTTTTTGGGGGGTAGGGGTGGGGGAGACAGAGTCTTGCTATATTACCCAAGCTGGAGTGTAGTGGCGTGATCTTGGCTCACTGCAACCTCTGCCTCCTGGATTCTAGCAATTCTCCTGTGTCAGCCTCTGGAGTAGCTGGGTTACAGGCATGCACCACCATATCCAGCTAATTTTTCATATTTTAGTAGAGATGGGGTTTCGCCATATTCCCCAGGCTGGTCTTAAACTTGAGTTCAGGCAATCCACCCGCCTCAGCCTCCCAAAGTGCTAGGATTATAGGTGTATGCCACCACGCCCAGCCCATTTTCCCATCTTTATATAATCTCCTTCTTCCACCACCTTCTCCTTTACTCTCCACCTTGTTTCTTTCTCCACTCACTCCCAACTTTCTCTCTTTTGTTTACAAAGCAATGCAGAAGACAACGCAGTCCAATCTGAATATGAAAGGCAA